AATAGCTATAGAGTCTTCTCCCATGGTACCCTGACCTTATCACCATTGTGACAATCGTATCATCATATTTCTTAAAATGATTTGTTTACTTATCAGTGTTTCACACAAGATCAGAAGAACAGCCTTGTGCCCCCAGTTAGGCTAAGATTACACGTTCTGAGTCCTGTCTTCATTGCTTAACACAACATTTGGGTCATAGTAGAGAATTAAATGCTGGACGAATGAATAGATAGCTGAATGGTAGGTTGAAATTAGATCCTGAAGACAACTGAAAGGCACTGGATCATTTTAAATGTGATTGCTATTCTTGTATTTGTGGAGGGGATCATTTTGGTAACAGTGGAGCATATAGTAGAATCGGGAGAGACTAGAGAGGCAAGAAGATGAGGAAATTGAAATAATCCCACATGAAATAAGAAACAGAACTAAAACAATGTGAGTGATGGGGATGAGAACAGAATTGATTCAAGAGATGTTTTGGAAGTAAATAGGCTACTAAAACCTACTAAGTTCTGGAGGGTAAAACAGAGACAAACGCTTAGTTGATGTTCGTGGCTCTGGTTTGGGTTACCCATTGAGATGGAGCCTTTCCTTGGTATGGGAAATGTGCCAGGGGCACATACATCTTTGGAGTTCCACCGTACAGTAGGAAGTGTGGATGCCAGTAGAACATCTATGAAGAGAGTAGAGTAGGCAGTTGAAATAAATTATAGTTTTAGTGAGAAATTAGAGCTTGATCATTAGCTTTGAAAATCACTGAAACCACAGAAATAGATGTGTCCCGAGCAGAAGTGAGACGGGGCAGAGGGCAGAATTGGTGAGCATTTGAATTTGAACAAGCAGAAGAAAACAAACCTGTAAAGATATTGAGAAGAGACAACAGAGCAAGCAGGCAGGAAATGAAGTAGAGTTGTTTGCTGGGGCTGCCTTAACAAGTCTGGCGCTAGGCAGGCCTTAGTTCAAGCTGTCCCTTTCTAGACATGTGACCTTTGCCAAATACTTGAATACTTATTCTCTCTAATCCTCAAGTTCTTTTACCTGTAAAGTGAAGATCAGAATAGTATTGCAAAGACTTCTTCCAAAATGTTGACAGTGATCATCTATCAGTGACAAGGTTAGGGATTCTATTTATGTTCTGCTTTTGACTTGTCTGTATTTCAGACGCTTTATTCTATCTAAAAGAAATCTATATCTTACTTTTGTAATTTTTTAAAAAGTTATTTTTCCCCCCAAAGAAGTTATTTGTACTTTCTGTAAACATGTGACATAATTGCAGGTCCTATTAGTATCATAAAGAATTGCAAACAAGGGAATGGATTAGGGAAATAGATATTCTTTTTTTTTTTTTTTTTATCCTCACCCGAGGACATTCCTCCATTTTTTGCCCAGGTAGAGTGGGAGGGAGAGAGAGGAACAGAGAAAGAGAGAGAGAGAGAGAGAGAGAGAGAGAGAGAGAGAGAGAGAGAAACATCGACGCGAAAGGAACACATCGAGTGGCTGCCACCCGCACGACCAACCAAGGCCGGGGACAAACTGCAACCGAGGTACATGCCCTTAGCGGGAACCGAACCCGGGTCTCTCTGGACCACAGGCCTATGCTCCAACCGCTGAGCCAAACCGGCCAGGGCAGAAATAGATATTCTTATTGTCACTCTACCGAAGACAAGAAGCACACACCGAGTACAATAGGGCACAACCTGGGGATCGAAGAAAGTTGACAAAGGAATAATTTTCCCTTTCAAGGACTTGACAATCGGTGGGATAGAATTCCAAAACAGAAATGTATAACTATAATGCAATTCGTGTCAGCATGGAGCAGACATTTAAAAAATAATAATAATAAATAAACTTAATGCCCCTTGGGTTCTCCCCGGGAGAGGAGAGATCATATTTGGCCGGAAGAATCACAAAATGTTTCCTGGTAGACCTAGCATCATGGACGACCCTGAAAGAGTGGGTGGATGACCCGCACAAATTCACTATTGTCTTAGTGCTTATTGGTCTGCTTCACAATAGAAGGAAAATTGGGCAAGAGATAAGAGCTGAGAATGTACGCTGATTGATTTACATGGAGAAGTACCTCCCTGTCAACTGCTTTAGTCACCAGTAACCTCAACAGCTGCATGTCAACAAGTTCAGGGGAGTAGAAAATTCTTGCTTCATCACAACTGGGAAATGCAGGGTTCACATTAACCACATTTTGATTCAGTCCAAGTGTTTTATGTGTGTGTGTATAGAGTTTGTAAACCTGGAAAAATGAAAGTATTCAAGCTGTTTAATTTTGGTTCAAGTTGGTTTTTATCGTCGTTCAACTGGGTAAGGGCTGAAACATTACCTTCCTTGTTTTGTAAGTCCTGAATCTAGCTTTCCCTTTTTATCTCCATCTGCAAATGGCCCAATTTTTGCATATGTCTATTAACTGCCTATGTGGCTACACAGAAAATTATATTTAGTCAACTATGCAACTATGTGTGAAGCGTTGTCTTCACTAAGGGTATCAAACTCCTCTTTCAATGAAAATTGAAGGTGATATTGACAAATGACTACGGTTGTCAAGTTGCAATATGTATGAGTTCACAGGTCTATGATTTCATTGTGATGGTTGCTAAAAGACTAGTTTGCCCTTGGCAATGCTGCAGCCAGACTGTCAATTTCACAGGGGATTGAGGATAAAGTGGGAAATGTTAAAGGCAAACAGAACTAAAATCAACATTCATGATACACGATGGCGAAGACTACCAGTTAGATATTCCACCACAGAATGAAATACCTCAAACCTGGCCTCTAACAATGTAAACATCTGCAATAACTATGGAAAAGAAAGCCTTTAAGATCAATTGGGCATTTATTGCCTCAGTGTTTTGGAGAGAAAGGAAGCATATGTATGCTGTCTAGAGGAACTTGGGCACATTTAGAAAAAAAAAAAGAAAAGAAACTTACACACTTCTCTATTTTTAAGAAAAGGAAGTAGAAGTCACATGACTCTCAGCTAAAATCTAGCTTGTTTATCTCAGGTTGTTAGGTAATACAATGCCTTCTTCAGAGTTATGAAGTAATTAGGAGGATTAAGTATGGCTTCCTTCTGCATCTCTATTACCTCATTTGCTCATTCAACGAACAAAAATGGATTGAACACCTATTATATGCTATGCGCTGGGAATATAATAATGAGTGGATCAAAGGTGATCTCTGTCCTCAAGGAATTTGGACTTAAGTGAGGGAGAAGAATAAAAGTTAAAGAATGCTAAAACTACAGCAGTGTATAAGTGCTGAAAAAGAGAGGCAGAGGGTGCCAAGAGAAACTATCATAAAAGATCTACTCAGGGAGGTCAGGGAAAGCTTGCCCATCAAGGAAGTTCTGATCCACCCAAGGAAGATTAGGAGTTGGCTGGGTGACGGAGAAAGAAAGGTCAGAGGAAGGGAAGTGCATCCTGGGAAGGGCTCTGTGCTGGAAGAATAGAGGAGCATTTAGAGAAGGCCCCCAGCAGGGTAGAAGGGGGAAGTCCAATGGAAAGTTACAAGAGAGAAGGGGGCTTGAAGGCATGCAAGGGTCTGGTTCCTACCCTCTAACTCAAGAACAGTGAGAAGCCATTACATGATTTTAATCAGCGGGGTGGTATAACCAGGTTTGCATTTAGAAACACTGACTTCAGCTCTGGTTTGAGAACCAGGTAAAAGGGTTCAGAATGACCTTGACTGAGGATGAGTGGCTGGGGAGCTACTGTTCAAGGGATGGTAATGGCATAAGCAAGGTGGCTGTGGAGGAGGAAATGGGGAGAAGCAGATTTTGAGCTCAACTTTTCTCCACCTTAAAATGGCTCCAGCTTTGCCAATGTTGTTGGTGGGCAAGAAGACGCCCAGCCCTCCTAACTTCCCTGCCCTTTCTGGATCCTAAACTTAAGAGCTGGCAAGTGGTGTTTTCTTAAAAGGCACATTCAGAGGCAGTTTCGGTGCTGGTTGGAACCATGGTGAAAAGAATTAAGGTGCCGGGATCAAGCAAATGAACTCACAGATCGACAGGGAAGATTTCAGGAGCTGAGTTTATGAGAGGCTATTTGCCTGTATGTATTTCCAGTAAGCCTGGCTACCTTGCCTTTCTGCCAACAATCTTTGTCTCAGATAAAAGGAGATAGTTGTTTAACCCGCTGGAAGATCCCCTGATCAGAGGGCTATATGGAATCAATGTTTCAAGAGCTATTAGTAGGGTGAGCTTATAACTTGTTATCCAAGCAAGACACATGGAAAAGAGAATGTGTTCTGATTGGACAATGATTAACTTCAAAACACATGTACACCAGAATTGTTTGGGGCAAGCCTGGTCCCCCTGGCAAGAAGGAAAGTTGAAAGTTTATCCTGTCTTGCTCCTTGGATTCCACTTTTTGCAGAGGATAGGCTAAGTATTTTCTCTTCGCTGGCACTATTGGAATGCACACCCTGGCATTCAGCTGGCTTCCAGGCCACTTTTATTTTTATATTTTCTGCCACACATGATACACTTTGAAGAGAACATTTCCCACCATTATCACTCTGTGATGGCTGATCATTTACAATTCCTCACTGAACCACCCCCAGGATGAGTCAGTTCAAAATGGGAGACACCACCCGGGGCTCATCAGAAATGCCCCATCGTAGGTGTGCTGAATCAGAATCTGCATTTTAACAGGTCATCAACATGCACACTATTTAAGAAAAAACTTCTAGACTTCCACTTACACCGAGAAAAACATTTCACAATGTAGCGGTGTATGCATACATAACTGAAACAAAAGTTTATAAGTAGGCAATGCTTACTCTGACGATTTTAACAGGGAAAAAAAAGTGCTCACAACTCCTTGGATTTCAGCATCCACTCCTGGGTTGCGACTTGTAGTTTGAAAACACAGCTCTCATGCACCTAGAACCCTCCGAAGAAGGGTGGAGGGAGGGGGAAGGTGCTCCGTGAGGGTGCTTTGAAAAGCATATACACTTTCTACGTTCAATCACTTTGTGAAACGTGTGCACTTAGTCACCCCGGAGTAAATACTTGGAGCGAGGACTCCTGAGGGCGGCGAGGGGCAGCTGAAAGTTTGCCAAAGCCTTAGGAGGGGCTGGTCTATGGGACATGATTGGCAGCTAGGAGAGAGAGCCAGGGCTGGAAGGGAAGAGAGGGAGAAGGCTCCCGGGCAGCGAGAGGTCCTGCCCAGCTGTTGGCGAGGAGTTTCCTGTTTCCCCCCGCAGCGCCGGGTGAAGTTGAGTGAGTCACTCGCGCGCCCGGACCGACGACACCCCCGCGCGCGCACACGCCCGGGACAGGAGCAGGAGCCGGCCTCCTGCGCAGCTCCCCTCGGCCGCCGGGGGCCTCCCCGCGCCTCGCCGGCCTCCAGGCCCCCTCCTCGCAGTCGACCCGCAGCCACATCTGGCCCGCACATCTGCCCGGCCGGCCGGGCGCGGCGTCCCGCCAGGACGCGAGGCGGAGGCGCAGCCAGGGGTCCGGGAAGGCGCCAGCCGCTGCGCTCGGGGCTCGGTCTATGACGAGCAGCGGGGTCTGCCATGGGTCGGGGGCTGCTCAGGGGCCTGTGGCCGCTGCACATCGTCCTGTGGACGCGCATCGCCAGCACGATCCCTCCGCACGTCCAGAAGTCCGGTGAGTGGCCCCCAGCCCGGCTTGGCGGGGCGCCTGGGGTCCGCCGGCCTCCCCGCCTCTGCGCTGCGCTTGACAGGCAGCCCCGGGACGCGGCACTGGGCGGAAACGGAGCGTGCCCCTCGGGCATCCCGCAGCCCGGCTCCCTTAGCCACAGGGTGTGGGAGTTTTACTTTCAAAAGAGAAGGAAAGTTCAAGTGGCAGGGGGCGCGGGGCGCGTTTGGCCCGCTTTGTGCGGGCAGGAAAGGCGTTGTGCGTTGGCTGCGTTGGAGGCGCGCCCCGGCCCCCGGAAAGGGAAGTTTGAGAAGTTGGTTATCTGGAGGAGGCAGGGGAGCAGCGGCCTGGAGCGGCGGCCGCCAAGGCCGCCAGAGCAGCTGGCACACCTGGGGCCACCGCGGCCGTGGCGATGCTGCGTGCCTGCCCGGGACTTGCTGAGCCACCCCATAAAAGGCCAGTCACTCCATCCTTCGCTCCGGGGAAGGGCCGCACACTCCCCCAGCCCGGCTTCTTGGCCCAGAGTTCCTGCGTGCACCCTCCAGATAACAGGACGCTTTTCAAAGCAAAGTTATCTGATTCCACTGAAGGCTTGGCCTTAGGTAGAGGGATTGTCAGGTGGCAGCGGAGAACGAGTTTCTGGGGGCCTGCTGGGTGCTGGGTGCTGGGTGCTGGAGGTGTTGCCTGCAACAAGTTGACCCCATCTTTTGGGAGTTGATGGTTCTCTACAATTATCTTGGTGGAAACGGAAAGGTTAAATGAAAACCGTATTTCTGTCGCCCAACTGATCTCTATCTCTAGAGGTTTCTTTGGGGGGGGGGGGATGAATAATTGAGTACTTAAAGATGTGTTGTGGAAAGTACCGAACCCCTGAGACCATAAAAATTAGATTTTTTTTTTTTTTGCAGCTATGATCCATATAACAGGGTATCTGCAGCTGTGGTCTGGGTAACTGAGTATTTAGACCTTTCAGGGCCTCAGTTTTCCTCATCTGTGAAATGACATGGTTAGATTGGATAATTTTCCATTCTTTTCATCTTTAGCATCTTCTCCCTCTCCTCCCCCTTTGATGACTTGGAGATGCCCCGTGTAGATGTGGGATGGAATAGAGGATTTGACAGTCCACACTGCTCTCTGAAGCACAGGTTTGCTTTACCCAGAGCCTAAGGCAGACTTACCTGTAGGTCTGTCTAGAATAAATATACACCAGGTTCTAAATGATACATTCCAGACTACTTGAAGTGGATTGAGAACTTCATATTGGAGGCTGCAGGAAGACTGGAGTTTTTAGTGAAACCAGGAAGAAGCATTATTGTAAACAAAAATTTCCAACACGAATTTGAGCTCCACAGTTAAATTAAATCCTGGTATTTCATTCTTGGATTTTGTCCTATGTTGCACTACCAGAATGTTCAAACTGTTCAACTGTCTCTGATTATACCCCAGACTCTTAAAAACTGAGTTATAGTTAGCTAATAAATATTTTAAATGTACCCTTAATTTTCTGTGTGAGTGAAAAATCATTAAAATGTTTTGTTTCAGATTATGAAAGAAGGAAATTTGTGGGCTCTGATTTTGTTAGGTTTTGTTTACAAGGATAAGATTTATGATTACAAATTCCAGACTCAATAGTTCATGAGTCAGTTTCATTTCATCTATATATACACTTTTAAACAATTAAAAACCTAGTGGCTTTTTATTTGGGCTTTTAAACAGTTTTACCAAACCCCCAGATTTTGTATCTTTATGGAATTAAAGTTTTACATGTTTGAAGCAAGGAATCATTTTGAATTTGCATTCATTTGAAATTAAATTTTTGAAGATAGTTTAAAGTAGCCATAGTGAAGACAAGATAATTTCACGGTTGCATTTTAATTTTCCATGTAAGTAAGTGGTTTCAGGATATTTCTAACAGAATTGATAAACTGTCAAAACATTTTCCAAAATATCTTAATTCATGGTAAGATATGAGGAAATGAGATTATTTACAGCCTCCTATTAGGTCACCAAAAAGACCCCAAAAAACAATAAAAAACCATGTTCTGTTTAGTAGATTGACAAGTGGGCAAAGGATTTCAATGTAAGACTAAACTTCACTAAGAAATATACTTAACTTAAAAAAATTGTTGTTTTTGAATTAGTAGATTCATTTTTCCTAAATGCTCAGAATTGAGTAATTGCTCTTTTGGGGGGAGAAAACTTGACATGTCTGAAAACTCTTCAGAGCTGAAAAAAAGTGACTTTCACTTTTCAGATACCTAACAAGAGATGCTTGCTGCTGACTAAATGTTGGTGAAAGTGTCATGCAGACAAACTTCTTTCCTAAAATCACTTTAACGATGTGCTCATTTTGTCAGGGTCAGGAATCAGTAGGCCCAGAATTTGATCTTGGGTCTGTTTGCTTTTGTTCCCAGAAAACACAATTTCACCTCTAGGCCACTTCCTTTAATCACATCGTATTTTTTAAGCAGTTGTGATTTGTACAAAACACTCATCACATTTTGGATACCTCCCCTTTTTCCCCAAGATAGCACCCCACGCTGATGAGTCCTCATACCCCTGGACAGTTGGCATAACTGCTTCGTGCTTTTCATGCCACTTTACCAATCCTCAGTTATCGACCCACCTTTGAACATTTTCTTTATTTTTTAACCCTGTTTATCCAATGAAGAATGACGCTTCCTGGGTGCCATTGTAAAAAGTGGTCATGACTCCTTCTTCCTTCTCAGGAGTATTTATAGTGCCTCCTTGTGCCAGGCAGGAAACACCATCCCCACTGAATAAGACACACATGGTCTTTGCCCTCATTGATTTTAACACGTGGGCGCACGTTCAAGGCCAAGAGACCATTCGCATTTTAACCCTGCGTACTTGGAGGCATTACCAAGCACTGGTAGTTTATTTTCCAGACCCCTTTGTCCAAAGTCCACTTTGTTGTTGCATGCTCTAGGGGGAGGGTGCATGTTGAATGTTTCCTTCTCAGTCTCTGTTTTTTTCATTGATCTATTTCTTTCTATACCTGTCTAGTTTCAGACCCACAATTGGCCCTCCTTAGTTCTTCATTCTGTAGCCAGCATGAGGGACCCATATGTACCCACAATCTTTCTTTCGAGGCTAGGCTTGGAGATAGAAGAGTGTAGGGTACAAGCTTTGGAATCTGGCCAGCCTGGGTTCCAAACCCACCTTCCATTTACTGGCTGTGTAGCCTGTTACAATGATGTTACTTCTCTAACCGTCGTTACCCTCATTTATAAAATGGGGTTTAGGGTATTCTGGGGAAGAGTCAATGAAATACTCTCAAGTGCTTAACATAGTGCCTGCAACATAGTAAATGCTCAATAACTATCAGCTTCTATTATTCTTATGATGAACACCTGAATCTGGCCTAACATGGTCCTTGGTGACCTGGTTCCCATCTGACTTTGCAGCTCCAGACCCTGCCAAGACTCACAAGTTCTCAATCCACTCTTATCACCGTGTGAACACCTGTGGGAGCGGTGTAGGCACCTCTGCCTTCGCTCAGGGTGCCATCTGAAACGCCTGCTCCCTGGATAATTTTCACTTGTCTTTTAAGACTTAACTCAGGTGTCATCTTTTTTAAGGAAGCCTGCTTTGAATGCCTCGGGCTGAGCTAATCGCCTTCCATGGGGATCGGCCTCTTTTTTAGCTTGTGACAATTGTTAACAATAGTAAGCCAAAATGATATCTTTATGTGATTCCCTTGCTCATTAGGCCTTTAATTCTCTCCGAAGCAAGGTGTGTGTCTTACTCATTTCTCTATCTCTGGGTCTCCTGCACAACCTGTGGCATCATTTAATAGCCAGGTAATGCTCAGCTCAGCATCTCCTTCATCCCCCTGGGCAACGTGCAGCCGAGTCAAACATTTTAAACAACCAGGCGGTCACTCTTTATTGGAAGTTTGGTCTACAGGGAAAATCTTACTTTTAGTGAGAAGAGGTTCTGCCCCCACCTAAATAGGCAATTTGACTGTTCTTATACTATTAATTGGTTCTTTTATTCTGATGAGCTATGGAAAAAGAGTGCTGAAATCTTTTTTTAAATTTTTTTATCCTCACCCGAGGACATTTTTGTTCAGATAGAGTGGGAGAGAGAGAGAGAAACATCGACGTGAAAGGGACACATCGAGTGGCTGCCTCCCGCACGACCCAACCAGGGCCGGGGAAAAACTGCAACCGAGGTACATGCCCTTAGCGGGAACTGAACCCGGGTCTCTCTGGACCGCAGGCCGATGCTCTAACCGCTGAGCCAAACCGGCCAGGGCAAGAGTACTGAAATCTTAATTTCGTTTTTCAAGTCATCTTTCTTTTCATCAGGGTTTCATGTTTTGTGTGTAAGCGATGGAGCAAAGGGGAGGGTAGTCCTGTCGCAGCCACTGTCTGCTGCAGAGCAGTGTGGATATTGCCTAGGTCTATGCAAACCACCAAAGTGGTTTAAAACAGGGTGCCAGGGACACACACTTCCTGGCTGCAGCTTGGAAGAGAGGGAGGGAAGGGGAGAGAGACAGAGAGAGAAACACTGATGTGAGAGAGACACATCGATTGCCTACTGCACACACCTGGACCGAGACCAGGGATCTAACCTGCAACCCAGGTATGTGCCCTTGTCCAGGGATCGAACCCAAGACCTTTCAGTCCGTGGGCCACACTCCAACCACTGAGCAACACTAGCCAGGACTCACCACTCCTTTTGCTCTCCCTCTTTCACTTGCAGTATTTCGGTCCCTGGGTACTTGTTGCTTCTGACTGAGGCAAGATAATGATGACTGTCTTCGGTGGGTATGTCAGCAGGTTCCTGACACTGAGCAGCAGGTTGGCTCATCTCAGGGAGGAGAGGTGAGGAGGGAGAATCTGCGCTAAGCCAGCCGCTTGACATTCCTTAACCTAGTTTAATCCCGAATGGAAGATAAGTTTTATTATCTTTATTTTGTAAATTAGGAAGATAGAGTCTGCGCAAGGTCACTTGAGGTTTGCTTGTGCGTGTGTGTGTGT